GCAGAAGAAATCGTGAAAGAATATGTCGGAAGGAAAAAAGAATTAAGACAAGGGAACGATGAGGATAAATCCCTGGATAATCCACCAACGCAAAACAATTTTTATATGATCTTTTAATTTATCACTGATTAATTTTCTGAGAGTCATTCCAAAAAGCCATTTTGAGCCATTTTTCGCGCTTGCGTACCGTTTGGCATGGTTCATGATTTTTTTAGAGACCGTGATTTGCGAGTATCACGAGAAGCTGATTTTGCACGGGTGATCGCCGAGACGTGTCTCACGGAGCCTCGATCAGATCCACGACTAGAGTGGTCGTTCAAGACAGCGTCTTTATACGGTTTTGGCATCCTCACCACATTAGGTAAGATGGATTTATCAACCTGCCTATGGAAAAGGTCAGGAAAAGGACTAGCATTTTCTCCCTGGGCTGAGATGAGAATTGAATCCGGATCTTCAAACTTTCATACGGAACCTAAACCGTGACTGCATTGAATCACTTCAAGGGATGATCTTTCAGAACGGTAGACTGAAGGCAATCACCCTAGCCTTCCCCTAAACTTCATCACAGCATCTGAGAAATCAGCTGATGCTATAGAACATCATATCACATCATGGAAGGTTACCCACTCAATCATGCCTCTTAGGGAGAAATCCCAGGAACCATTTCCATCGCGAGTAATGCCTTAAAAATGCATACGCAGACTTTTGAAATGATTTGATTCATCCCTAGGTATAACCCATTTGTATGTATACTCTTTCTAACCTCTCTTGGGACCTTTCATGCATATAATCTGTCGATACTACTTTTTTCTGACCTTCCGAGAGCCGGGGATGATACTCCAGCGGAATCTCTTCAATCTGACATTTTACTATGTATTTGACTTTCATTGAGTGAAATATTGGCCATTCCGAGTTATCAGAGATGGACGACTTTGACCGGCGAGCAAATGTGAGGCAATATACGTCCCAGGGGGCTGATGGGTAGGCGATGCGAAAAGATTGATCGACCCCATGCATAGTCTAAGAATTTCACTAAATGATAAATGGCCTAAGTTTCACGAGTTGCTGCAAACTGCAAATCTACCGTAACTTGTTCAGGTTACGGTAAAGTGGAACCACGAACACCAAATGGTCGAATATTCACCGTCATTTATGGTTTCATAGGTATACCAGTAACGGTTATACTGCTCACAAATCTCGGGCGATATCTGGAACGATTGACTCAAAAAGCTCGCCGAATGTGCTCTCGGGTAGGTATTTATTTAGGAGATGGAAGATGGGAAGGTTAAAAAACGCTCATTTCAGCCAGACTCCGAGAGCGAAAGTATAAACGGAACAACATTATTTTTTATCATGATTCTTTATCTGGTAAGTGCTATTTAAACCCATTATATGTATGCATGAGTTATATATTCTTCGGGCAGAAACTTGAAATTCAAGCCAGACGCCCACAATGATACTCAAAATACATCCAATGAAAGTCGTTATGAAGTCGCACTCGCAGGAGGCACGTGAAGAGGTGGGGGCACCGAACCAAGTGACCAGTACTTTCACCTTTCCCAGTCCTGTACCTATATCCAAGAGATGGGAGACCTCTTAGATTTCATGTACCGCTTGATGTGCGGTTCATCTGGGTAATAACAACGTTGTTTTCCCGGACGCTACCTCTGTCTCGTACAATTTGACTCAAAAGTAATGGAGTTTTCAATCCTGATAGAGACACCCTTCTCAACTAATCAAAACGACGACGGCCTTAGACAAGTTGTTGACATATTTCAGCCAAAACGGAAAAAAACCATCCAGTAAATGTGACGAGAACGTACATTCTCCTTAGAAAGGTCTACAGAGGGAATGCATCGTGGAAAGCTTCTTAAGTAAGTGGTTCGCCGAAAGAAATTGAACCTATACATCATGGCATCATCCACTGGCCGGTACGGGTGGTTCCTATCCGATCCGAGTCCAATCAAAAGTTCATGAGCCATGGTGCCTCTAGTAATGACTTTAGAAACAGGATATTGACCAGAACCACTGTTCCATTCCTGAAGCCTTCTCTCCCTTAAAATTGGAGGAGTATTCACAAGCAGTACTACTTCCACCATTAACAGGGTGAAGTATTTGGGCGTAAACAATCCCGTCTGAGGGATGCGCCCCGTATTCGACATCCATTTAGAATTCTTCGATAAACTACAACAAATACTGATATTTCTAGTTACTGGGCGCTTTCTTCATTCCACTCCTTCATGGACAGCTTGATTTTTTCAATGGCATCTATTTCGCCTTCATCTGTCTGACGGCAATTGAGTATGGAGATCTAGTGCCTGACAAGTGCGTAAGTCCACTCTGACAGCCAACTGATATCCGTTGACGGAAATTCGATGAGGGAGATGCCAAGAAAGCTGACTTCGACGATACTTTTAAGATTACAGCTATCTGAGGGAACTCGTTTTAAAGCAAAATAATCCCAATTGTAGTTGGGGTGTTTCGTTTGTGGGCTACTGACCAGTTTCCGAATTTGTAAGAGTTAGAATGAAAGGAATTTCTAATTTGAACTATTCAGAATCTGTAATAACATTTCAGTAACTGGTACATTCCTATTGTTATCGTCTATGTATGTATTGGTCTAGCAATTTCGACAATCGCTTTAGGTAAGCCGTTTATCGTCATATTCCAAAATTAAATTCAAATCAATTGAATTTATAAATCTATTAAACTAAAAAATATGATATGAAAGTAACTGTGAAATAATTGCTCACTTCAAAGCATGGGGACCATGTCCCTTATCTCAGGCCCGCTGAAAGCGGGTAAAAGCTATGTAGCCTAAATGAGAAATAGAAAATGCGAATAAAGGAAAAATTTATGAAAAAGTATCAGGAAAAATGGGAAGAAAGCACAAATCCTCTGTTCAAAAATGCTTTCTAGAGTAAAAAATGAATAGGGAACCTTATCGATGAACTATACTGGCCTCAACATTTCGATGAAGCCTACAAGTAGTGTTCGATCTAATATGTTCGGACCGAACTACTCACTCAGAAGCATTTGAATTCGACTTTACCTATCGAATCGGTGAGATAGATCTTTCACTTTGGGCTTTGTTTCAGATATCGGATCGTACTACGTGCGAAAGTTACACTATATTGGTCAAAAGTTAAAAAATATCGCCAATATTCGAATATGGTTTGGATCAAGAGAGTATGTTCTTAAGTCACATTTCGGTTTTTCGGGGAACCTAAGCCACTCTCGTACATTTGAGAGGATCATGTCCATCCTTTCTGGACCTTGCAATTGGTAATAACAACTTGTAATTCAGTCTACAAGTAAAGGAGCTGATCACCGCTGTTGGACAGAACATCGGCATTGGCGATCAGATTATGGCCGATATCGATCTGGAAACGCTCGTTCATGTCAGTGATTACCGAAAAACTGTTCCGTACTTTCATTATTTCATTTCAAATTTATCAGTAGAATTGAAAGAATAAACTGAAAATACGGGTGGGCCATATTGCTTGAAATTCTTTTTTATCAGATATTTCTCTTCTCAGATATCCATAATATTTAGAAATTTATATGCTTTTTTGACTAGATTCGAGATTACTTTATCTTTCCGTCCAGAACTTTATGATCGAATTACTGTACGTGAATAAAAATTGAAAACTCTGAATTTAGACAGCAATTCAAGTGAAACTTGGCCGATTATCTCGTGTTCCCCAGACACATATGATCGTCGAGGGTATATGGCCACCAGAATTGGTCCCACTATTTCTCAAGGTTTGCCTGATTACACTTTTGAAGTTCCCTTTCAACTGTTCCATTTCTTCGTCTGCTATCCGATCAATGCGAGATTCCTTTTCAGGATGGTCAATTTCCGCTGTTTGTCGATTCTGAAGACGATCTCTTGGATATGACACCAAAGAAGACTGTCGTTCGCTTCCAGGTTCGTTCTAGAGTTTGTTTTCTGAGTGTTTCTGACTGGCAATGGCCCTTTTGTCACTGCCCCATCCGATGTCTCAAAATCCACGAAATTATTTGATGCTCAAGACTGAGCTCCTCAGATGCCTGTC